ACTATGAATTCTGCTCCATGTTAATACCCTTGGGCAGATTATGTATCCTGCAGAGCCTCCTGCAAGAAAAAGCAGCACAATTTGCCCCACAGGCTCATTTTAATTTGATAAACCTAAGCCACATGAGGAGTCATATCCCATTTCCTACCATAGGTTGCAGAGGTTCTTGCCAAAAAATGTGCTGCTTCTACATTTTGGATTGAAATTTACTGATGCAGCAGGTGACAAAATCAGTAATTCAATGCTCAGAAAAGACTGGAGATACAGGAGATGGGGCATGAAATGAAAGATCTAAGCAGGCACTTATTTTTGGTATAGATATTCACTAAGTTGTTGATCAATTCACTAAGTTGTTGACTTGCAGATGTGACTGCATGATGAAAAATCAGATGACTAGGGACAGATCTTGTGGATGATAAAACTACTGAGATAAGATTTACACAGGCAGCCTGGGAAAGCAGAAGGAAAACCCACTCCTGTCACTGACCCTCATCTTCGGGCAACGACTCCAGAAAGTTTTTCTGGATGCAAAGAAAGCAGTTTGAGTTTCAATATTAAAGTTCCATTTTCAAAAAAACAGCAACTGCTTTTCAACAGTTCCTGGGAAGCCTAGGCATCAGTCACTTGCTGTTTAAAAGTATAAATTAATATTAATATTAATATATTTCTTGAAGAAAGAAACAACAACTATGAAAAATCAATAATCCGAAAGCCACATAAGTGTTTTGAAGCTTTATTAATATGTGTCCCAGCTGCTGGGATTATCAGTACCTCAGCACCACTGCCACTGAATATGAAGCTCAGTTTGACTGTGAAGAAAATTCAGTTGACAGGACAGGAAAGTACTTACTGGAAATTTTACTTGGTATCTATTAGTTCAAAGCATTGTCTGCATAAATGCTACTGACAGCTGTACTCATCGCACCACACCCAGTTTCTACTCTTTTTTCGTTTCTGCATGTGTTGAGTCCTTACATCTTGCAGCTCCAAGTCTGCAACTCTTTCCTTTTAGTATTACTTTGCACTACGGAAAGCACTGTAATAGCCGTTTTTGAGAAATTAAGTAGATCACAGTGTGGTAAACAAGTTAGCCTCTGTCCCTCTCCTCCTCCTCTTCCCATTCCCAGCATGAAAATAGCGAGGGCTAAAGCAACAGCTGGGGATCATTACACTGACAGGAATAGTTCAGTAAACTGCAAGAGGGGAAAACATGTCATATCCAAAAAACCCAAAAACACATTAGAGCATCAAGACTGAAAAAACATGTGAATTCAGCTCCAGGGATAATGCTATGACTCTTCTTCCACTGATAACAACTGACTTACAAAAACCTTGGTCATTCAGTGTTAACCCTTTCCCCACTCACGTCACAGAATTAACAAATACCCTGAAACACCTCTAGTCCTCACAGTCAAATGAGACACACTGGCTATTAAGCAAAAATAAATTTAAATACTTCAAGCCAACTTCAAGCCACTTCACATAAATATTTCATTATCTTACCTTCACTGTACCTCTTACTTTTAAGAATAGCCACAGGCTGTGGTTGCAGCAAGAGAATACAGGGAGTGTGATGTGCCACTGGACCTGCCATAAGAAATGCCAGAGCAGATCAGCTCCCCGTACATTCAACACATTTTCTGTGTTTTAATGTGTCAGAGCACTATTTGCATTAATAATTCCAAACAGTGGGATGCATTAGGCCATAATTCAGAAAGGCATCTGTGTGTTTTGGGACTGGTTTCTGACACTACTTTTCCATGAATTTGCATTGCTCACACATCTCCCAACAGCAACTTCAGGTCCATTCTGAAGCAGGAAGACTCACATCACCCGTTACAGAAAAATGTCACCCTGCATTCCTGTGAGATGCCTCGGGTGCAGGGGCTGCCCTCTTGCTGGGGATCTCCTTGGGACTGACAGCTTCCAAGTCTACTCGTGCAGGTTTCCTGATCCCTCCTGGATGAGGTGGGGCCAGGGCCAGCTGCACCTTCAAATGCCCACAGGTCTAATGGCAATAAGGTCTAGACTACTCCTGAAGAAAGTTAAATGCTAACAAACACTTGCATGACTCCTGTTCTCTTCAAAGTACTAAACAGATATTAATAGTTTAATCAAAGGCTAAGCTAACTCAAATTACCTCCCATTTGCTGTGGACCAAGAATGTGCACACAGTTCGTGCAGATCAGATGGCATGCAAGAACTTGTTCCTGTGTCTGGGCCCTGAGATACCAATCTTGGAAAAAGACAGGTGATTTTAGCTGTCAGGCCCCAAGTCACACTGAATGTTTTTGAAGGGAGGATCTTGCAAAAAAAAAAAAAAAAGTGTTTTGTTTAAGAGCAGCAAATTAAAAATGTAGCACAGAAGTGGAAAAGTTGGAATTTAGTTTGGAAAGTACTTAATTCTAAGCTGAACTCACATGAATGCTAACTGGGCTTTGAGTAGCTTTCTGCAATTCCCTCTTCGTATCTCTCATGAGGGGCTACCATACTGTTGTGTTAACTGATCTAGGAACTGCAAATTTGGTTCTAGTATTTGAAGACTAAATCATTCCAAGGCATTCTTGAATAGAAAACATGTTTACGGATTCCTGAATTCTAGGAATTTTGCAAGTAACCGCCCTAATACATATTTTGAAAAATACAAGCTTAAGTTCTTTGACTTCTGCATGTCAAATCCAATTCTGTGTAGAAAGGATCACCAGTTCCCAAACTTCAATGTCAAGTCCTAATTCAAAAAAAGAAATAAATCAGATTTAAGAGACATCTGTTTTCCAGAAATCAGGAAGGAAGATGTATTCTATTCCAGATAGCTGCTTCTCATGAGAATCATTAAGAGAACAGATGAGCATTGTCAGCGTTAGTATAGACAGCCCTTATTTGCCCAGTTTTATTAAGACTGAGGAAGAGAAATGCATGAATTTTCTGTCGTGATGGCAACAAAACTAAGCTCTCATTTTTAGGGGGGACCAAAAACCCACAAAGTCATTAGTGTCAGCTCAATGCTAATTCTGGACTTCCATAAGGGTTTACACGTGGGTGCATCTGTTCCTCCGCTGCCCGTAAGATTTGGCTCTGCAAAATACAGCGCACGCTACAGCACAAACACAACAGGCATCCCGAGACTGCAGGAGACTTGAATGGAGCAGCAGCAAAGCTAAAGGGTTATTTTCTTCATCTGACAGGAAAGAAGCTGGCAGCATCTCTTTCTCTTCCCTAACTTTCATTTGGTAGCTGGTGGAAAGCAGCTTTTCTCACCACAGATGACATTAGAGTATCATGAATTAGCCATGGGGTGGGCTAATAGTACTGCTGGACTTTACAGTCAACACAGTTTTTCCAAAAACCAGAATTATACAAGATTTCAATGGCCTTAATTCACTTCAATTTGAGACAGCAACAAACCTTTTTATATTGATTAAAGTAAGACAGAATTGCTTTTTTCTTGTTGTACATGTTATCCCACCGTACAGCTTGTGATATTTAGTGACTGGATGAAAGATGTATCCTGGTACATCCAAATGCAAAATGCTCACCTTTTGTGAAAAACAATGCTTACAAATACAGGACAGATGCAAGTTCTGGCTTTTTTTAATTTTGGGCTGTTTTTTCCTCAGAAGATTGATGTGCTTCAGCTCTATGTCTCCAAAGCAGATAAAGACATCTGGGAACACTGCCTATACTAATGGATTTATAACTCCTGAACTTGAATTTGAGGACTGTGACTTCAGTTTTCTTTTCCTTCTCCATATTTTTTCAACAAAGAATATTCCAATGAAAACATGCAACACAAATAGTAATATTTTTAAAAATTAACAACAAGCTAGCTCTTGATAGATGTTAAATAGGCTTGGTAAGGGGAGGGACAATTGGGGGCAGAAACCTAATAGTTTTTTTTGGCAGTTCCAGCAGGCCTAGACTACGTACCAGAGAAAAATCCTCTAAATGCAACTGCTAAAATCCTCTTCCACACACTGGCCATCTTTATGCAACAAACATGGCCTTATTCTATCTGGATTCTTGTCCTCGATGGCTACCCCTCCTTTATCTTGCTTTGCTGTCCAAAATGTCAGAAAGTTATTTTCCCCTCCATTCAGATGACATTACTCACTTTTAAAATCACTCATCACCTCGTTCTGAGGCCACTGTACTCCAGATCATTGTTCCCCTCTGCAAGTTCCTACTAAAATCTCACTTGTAGCTAAACAGATCCAGTATTTCTGATAAAACATAAACCTTGCTGCTTGCCATTGGCTTTTTGTGATGTTCTGCCATTCTTCCCTGTAATCTTTTCCCAGTTCCTGCTTGTTGATATATATTTATTATGCTGCACACTATGAACGGATCACTGCCTGTTTTCATCTTCTCAATCTTTTTCAATCCCTCCAGATTCTCTTCTTTCCTTCTAGATATCACTCCCTGAAATCTGACCTCTGTCTACATAATCTTCCAGAACTGTTAAATCCTCATTAAAAAAGCATACATATTTGCTGAATACCATCAACTAAAACAAAATCATTTAGATATGCACACAACACTTCTTGCACACTCTCAAAACAAGACTATACAGAAACTTAAAACATGGTACTCTTATCTTCTTCAAGGCAGAGCTGCAAATCCAGAACAAGCCTTTACACCTTTAATGAAACAGCCTTAAAGCATTGCCCACAGGAGGCCTACAGATGTAGGGGAGAAGAAATTTTAAGTTTGAAACCAAAACTCCCGAATGTGAGTGAAATTGTTTCAATTGTTTCAGCACTGCAAGTCACTACACAGAGAGCTCCAGGCTTGTCGAGTGATGTGCTTGAGCGCCCTCAGGGACAAGAGGTCACAGGAGTCAGTGGGAAACCCAAAATCTGGACTATTGCCCAGAAAACAAAAACCAGGCAGATTCAATATGCAAGAGGGAAAAAAACCAACAACACAAAAAAAACCCCAAAATAAAACCCCCACAAATGAATTACACAGTGCCTACAACAAAGAGAGCAGAGCCTGCTAACCTTCTCGTAAGCTGTGGTATGAATCCTGGTATGTGCTTGAACAGCTCTTCCCTTGCTTTGACACAGTCTCTGCAAGCGGCACAATCCCGACATAGGCAGGCTGGAGTGTCTTGGCTTTATCCAACATATTAGAGGAAATCCCTGGACCTGAAGGCGGATTCAGTAACACGGGAGGCGTCCAGGCAGGTGGAAGGGGTTCTTAATCCTCACAAGAGACCTAACTGCAATCCCTCTCTACCAGGTTTCCGTCACTGCACCAAGCGGTAGAGCAGAAAAAAATCAGTTTACTGCTAGATTCCAAGGCTGTGCTTGCATCAGAACAGAGAGGTTCTGTAGGCACAGAGAAACCCTGACAGCCAACATCTAAAGATTAAAACCAGCAAGGCTCTTGGCAAAATTTTTCTTCCTACGATCTCAAAGCTCAGACAGAAACTTCCCTGTTGCAGCAAGTAGCTATAAGCATTCGGGCACCCCGTATGCAGAGCACAGCTTATCGACAGATGCGTGGACTTCTTTGTGGGGCCACTTGCAGTAACAGCCAACCTCATTCACCCAAAATAGTGAACAGTTGGTTTCTCTACTCACACTGCAGACACCTGCCAGACAGGCAATATCATGTGACTGAGCAGTACCCTCTCTCCCCATGCATCTCCCGACTGCAAGCACGCTGTGCACACAGCTAGGAGAATACCCCTGCTCCGAGTGCAGAAGACAAGTGCTTTCTCTCCCTTCTTGCTTAAACCCTTGGAAACAAGAGTTTTAGCTGTGGAGAAACCTAAACTGATAATCTAAGAAACAGAGTCTTCGTATGCATTTGCCCTGAGACCACACACAGGTAAGAGCAGGCTACTTCTGTGCAAGCACATGTTCTCACCCCCTCTTCCCTTAAATCCTTTCTCCCAACCTAGTAGAAACACCTACCTGAAGATAATCTGCAGCCCCAAATCAATAACCCTCTTCTGCAAGCACTAGACTTTCAGAATCTGTGGTTGCATGGGAGCAGTCACCTCATCTCGAGTTTATTTCATGTGCATCATGAACAGATGCCACATGGCTGACATATTTTGGTTATACACACTGCCCAGCACGGTACTGGAATTGGCCAGGGAAAGACATGTTCCATCTGAGCAACAATCAGGAGGCCCTCTCACCAGTACAACTGGTAGCTTTGTGGGTTTTTAATTTTGCTAAGCATGAATCATAAGAGATGCAATGAAGTCTGTGGTGAAAAAAAAAAAAAAAAAAAAGAGTTGTCCAATGATACCTTAAAAAAGTATTCTTGTTACCTTTCCAGGAAAAAAAAAAAAGATTAATAGTAATCAGTGTCATCCTACACACCTGAAACAAAGATAACCACACAGACATAGCAAAAATAAAAAGACGAATACTCTAAAAACTACAGGAACAGTTTCCAATTCATATTCTGTTCCTATCCCACTCAATTTTCTCATTTCCAAACAGTTTGAGAGGCATTCAAGCCATTCTATAAAGCAAGGCTGGAATTACAATCAGGGAAAAAATGTTTCTAATAATGAAACTAATATCTAAGAAAAGTAGTGTTCAACCAAATGCTAGATGGCATCAGTGACATTTCTGAGCACTTTCAACAGTACTCTTCTTACTTTGAAATGTTCAACCTCCACCCAGGAAAGAATCCAAACTCCAATGTTCCTGTGAGTAAAAAAGTAGCTTTGGTGATAATATAAAGCTCTGTAATTGCACTACTCTTGAATTACCATCATATATTCAACAGAAATTTTAATCTTAATTTTAGGATTTGTGAAAGTCAGGTGAAGGTTCAGTCTCACACTGAACTTTAGCCAGTAAGGTCAAATTACTGCACAAATAGAAGAGCCTGTTTTTGCATGAGCATTAGCAGTCACAGCACTGTGGAGAGCTGCCTTGGGAAACAGACCCAGCACAGCCCAAGAGTTCTAAAGACAGGATGAAGGAGAAGATAAAGAAACATATTGTCTAGACCTCTCCTTTCAGCAGCAACACAAAACTGCACATTGAGTAAGGCCTGATACTCTGAGCAGAGGTCCCATACCTGTAATAACTAAAGAACAATTATCCAGTGCCACACCAGCTCTACTTTTCCTGGCAAGCAATATACCATCTGGATGGTAAAAATGACAAGATTCAGCTACAGAGGTCAGAAGCTACTATTATTCTGCCAACCAGGGCCTCTGAGTTAGCAGGTCACTACAGCATACAAAACTGAAAAACACAAGCTAGCTGCTCATGCAGCACCTGCCAATACCCAGGTATTGCCAAAACAGCCCTAACACGTTGTCCAGCTTCTGATGAAGAAAACTTTAAGAACTGATGAAAATCTGATCCTTTCAATGTATTGTTGCAGAGCTGCAGGTATGTACACAGACACATCTTTCTTTTTTCCTATGCAGAAAACAGCTTGGATAGAAAGACACTTGACAGGCTCAATGGTAGTTAGGTAAATCTTTTATTTGCTGAGGAAGATATTTTTAAATTTTGTCTTACAGTATAAAATTTTCCCCACAGCATTAGTTAGTGCTCTAAGAGGAGTAATTATCCAAATTATCTGGGTCACAGCACTCCAAAGAGGACGTGGATAATGTCCCCTATGCTGTAAGAAGATAAACTCCAAAGGGCCTAGATTGGAGGATACCCTTCCACACACGAGCAAGCACTTGTGAGGTTCCTCCTTGCAAAACATGGACTCTAAGGGATAAGTCAAGGCCAAGAGCAACCTGTCTTGTACAAAATACTGACACCATTTTCACTTGTTTATAAACATCTAAAAAGTTTTTTAAAGTTTCATTTGTTTTACTGGATCCTGATATACTGATAAGAGATCTGAAACTCTGATCAGTAATCACATGGACAGAAATATCAATGTACTGTAAGAACAAGTAACTTTGACAATTACTCTGGAAATCAGCAGGGTAGATTGGAAAACCCATTTCACAGCAGAGGTAGGATTTCAGCAACAGTTTCAGTTGCTTAACCACTCTAGAAAAGTAGGATCACCCCCACTAATGGACGCCCAATATTCAGTGTCTTGCACAACTTTTACCCTGGAATTGGCAGAAGTGCTATTGGTAAAACAATCACCTTTACCAAGGGGACCTAAGTATGTGCCACAGATTTCCCATCTGAAAAACATCAGGCCCAGTTTTCATAATCTATTCCATGAGACATCAGTTGAGCAGTACATCCTTTGAATTTCAAGTGTGAAATGAGATGCAGAATGTGGGGATGCATTCTACCTTAAGATGCTGCACCAGGTGCACACATGGCTTGCACAGATACAGCTGCTCCTTCTGAGGCCTGGTGGGCATGAAATGCAACACTTGCATTTGAGGTACCACTACCTACTCACTACTCAAAGTAGTGGTACCTTAAAACACACAAAATTTAATTAATTAATTTCTTGTATCTACCTTCAAAAGCCAGGGGAAGGGAGAGAGAAGCCACACTATCTTGACATAGGGTAGAACTTGGATGAGCTCAGCTGTAACACAAAACTGCATCATTAGTTTCTTTTTTCTCAAAAATACTGCATTTTAAAATCCAAATTATTAAGCAGATAAAAAATGTGCTCATAATCTCCATCACCACCTTCAAATGTGCATTTTTCTCCTCCTTTCACCTCCAGTCCTCTCTGCAGCTCAGTACAGGCTCTCCTTTTTCCCCCAGTAATAATGTTCTCACAGGACACAATGCCTGCAATGATCTGCAAGCATGTAATTTAGTGATGAAATATAAACAATGTACTGCTAAAAATTTGCAAACAGCTGTAAAATATGCTCTCTCAGGCAACATGAGAGAGATCTCAGCCAAGGTCTAAGCCAGATGAATCCTAAGAAAGAAGTATGAGCCCACTACATTTAAAGATTTGTCTGAGATTTCTAGCAAGTAGACAAAAGCTGGGAAAATAATAGAATGCTGCACTACATCACTGTGAAGCTTTGATGTCTTACAACTCAATTCATTTTATACTTCAAAATAAATACAGACTGCACACTGACACTTGTGTTCCTTATTTTTCAGCCAGGGATCACATCTATGTAACGTGAGCTCGCTGTGGATATTCCCAGGATCCACCACCAGTGTCTCCCACCAACAGTGACCTTTAGGAAGAGGAAGAAAAGTGAGGCTGGGAGCACCATACATTTTTGCTTCTCCAGTTCTCAGGAAGAGCCTGAAATTTATCTACTCTTATCTTTTCAACCAGCTGGTGACAGCTAGTGCTGCCATTCAGCATTCAGAAAACTCCTAGACATGACAGGTAGCCAAAGCTAAACCACCATGCAGATGTAAAAATAGGTCACAGCAGCAGGAACCATGCCTGGGAACCTGCAGTTCTGTTGTAGCTTTTGAGCAGCTCTTCAGTCCTCCAACCCACTCTGGGATATACCACCACCCCTGCTTTTGGCAAGTTGGCTGTCATTGAGCTGTAATTACTGTGAGTTGAAAGCATAAAAATAGCTGCTGCACAGGGTGGAAAACCTATCAGATGATGTCAAGGCGAGTTTTGAGCCCTCCCTTCCCCCCACCTCCCCCCCCTCCACTTCCTTTCCTATGTCACTTTCTCATTACCTCACTGTCTCTAATTCTGAAAGTGCTTCTCTCTGCATCTTTCAGCTGTCAAAGTGAACTTTACACAGCAGCTAGAGCCAAATCAACCCCCAGCCCATATATAAACTCTGCCACCCACTCCATTCCTTGGGATTCAGCCAAGATGTCAGTTTGCCTTTCCCTGAAAACACGAAGCACATGAAATCCTCGATCCCTATCTGCAAAAGACTGGACCAAGAAGAATCAGTTCAGCCCAAGGAATGCAACTCTGATCTGCATTTGATTAACTCCATAGATAAGCAGTTTCCAAGCAGCAAGGCAAGTCAACATGGTGAGTGAGGTGTGGACAGACAGCAGCACAATCCCATCCCCCTCTGCTAACACCGAGTAACTCAGCCCGGCCTCTCTCCCAGGCTCTGCAGACCTGAGGAGCAAAGTGCGACACAACAAAGCCAAAACTTCTGATTTTCCCACCTCTCCCCTCCCCACATCGGGAGCTCAGACGTCAGTATTGCAAAGAGGCTCTGGAAATATTGCTACAAGGGCAAAAAGAGGGAAAATAGAGAGGAAGGGAGGCAAAGACGTCGGTTCACTGATGGGCCATGCCTCTCCTCCTTCCTCCCTCCAGGACCCACTGCACTGAGCAAAGTAGGCGTGATAAAGAGAAGAAAATGGTCCAGAGATCTGGAATACTCTAGATCATGTGCAAACAAAAGCATTATGCAGCACATGCTCTTGATACTACTACATGTGAAGGTAACATCTGCTCAGGTGTCACCTATGCAGCCAAAAAAAGTAGTGCAACTTTTAAAGACATGTTGGTTAATTTAGTTGGATTTTCTTCAGAAAACCATTGACAGCACTTCTGCCAATTCTGTGCTCTAAGAAGCTGCGTATACACTCCTTGACTACAAAAAGGTGTTGCCCAAGTAGAGATTTCCAGCTAAGAGACGAAGAAATTCTGGATTTCTCTGACCAAAGCAGTGGAAGAACTCTGTCCATGACAGAAAACTTCACAGTAGAGGGTAGAACAAAAGCAGAGAGATTAATAGAAAGATATTAAGAAGCTTTATAACCAGTTCCCAAACAACTACAGCCCACTGTGCATATAAGCCCAACAAAAACAAGCAAGTAAATTAAAAACACATATCCAAGCACATCTTATTTGTTATTTTTACCATTTTGGTTGATAAATTCTGGTTAGATGCAAACACTGTTGCATACCTCTTTTTTAGTTCAAAGTTACTAGCCCTTCTTCAAGTTACCACCCCGTTGTGAGCCCCTAGAATCGGCTGTATGAATGCTCTCACTCTGTTCCAGTGCAAAGTTAGAAAGATTAGCTCAAATTACCTTGGCTAACAAGCTTCACAGTGAGAGCTCACAGAGCAAGAACCACATCTCATATGTGGAGTGCCTATCTCCAGTGGAAGGCCTTAACTGAGAGCTGCTCCAGCTGGAATCACAACAGAATTCCATATATTCCTTTAGTTCAGCTATTACCCATCTTCTTCTAAAAGAATTACTTAGACCAAAGGAAGGAACAGTTCCTTGCTCTTACCTAACAGCAATAGTTTACTTGGTATGAAAGAGTCAGAGGTTTCAAGTCAGAGACAGTCACTCAAGGTTCAAGTTAAAATCGTTCTTAGCAGCCTTCCTGCCTACAGTTAATCTGCTAATTCACCCACATGCTCCCCAAATAACTTTAACTTCTCCAGGGGTAGGCAGATGTGCTCACACAGGTGCAGATGTGCATTTTCCCACCCCCACCACTGCACACAGGCAGGAACAGAGGTTGCAGGAATCACACACACAGAATCACAGAGAACACTGAGTTGGAAGGGACCCACAAGGAGCATCGAGTTCAACTCTTAAGTGAACAGCACTGACATGTGAGTATACACTGTGGCCAGTGGAGAACACTGAGCACAAGACTTTTCAAAACATTTCAAAACATTTCCTCTTACAGATATTCCAGACTTCAATTTAAACCACTATGAACAAGTGAAAACAGCAAAGTCCAAAACATTTGGTTTTGCTCTCAAGAGCAGAAAAACAGAGGAAGTTCCGGCTGGCAGACCAAGGGGGTTAGTGCACAGGATAGAGTGGAAAAGGAATCAATTTGAATTTGTCTTAAAACAGCAAATTATTTTTAGGAGGGAGTAACTAGGGGAAGAAAAGGAGGAAGATACCTTTCCCCTCATGTTAAGGCATGTCTAAGAGTTTGAGAAGTTATGTCACTAATTCCTGTGGTTGTTGAGCAAAAGATATCCTGCACTTCTCTCTCCCACATCCTTTAAACATCGGGTTTCTTCTCTATCAAACCCTCCTACTTACTGCACAAGAGGCCTACCTGCAAACACCTGGAAAATGCAATGTCTATTTTTAAAGCACCTAAACAAGAGAGGAAACAGCCAGGCTGTACTCTGTGTTCAAATACTGCATGTGGAAGGATTAGCAAACTCTTCATTTACTTCTCAGTTTGTACCAGCAGAATTGCTACTAGGTAAACCTTCATCAAAGATTGTGACTTTTGCCCAGAAAGCTGCTTCCTTCTGCAAACACATTGGTTACATGGGCAGTAACAACACTGTTGAGGCTTAATGTGACTATTAATCTTGGTTAATCTGATACAGAATTGCAATCTCAGAATCTAGATTTTTATTAAAGGTTATCTTCCCCTTATGATTGCAGAGTATTTCTTCACAACTTGAAAAAACTATGCACTAATGGAGATATAATTATGAAAAGACCAAAAACCATTCCATTCATTTAGTAAGTTAGTAGCCAGCCATAATAATTTTAGATGTGGGTTTTTTTCAACTCTTAACTTTTTCTCTAAAAGTGGTTAAAGTCCTTTGTCACAATCAGGTAGCAGTGGAGGCTTGGTTGAGGTAAAGTAGGTAAAGTTTTATGACAGCTCTAAACCAATAAAGTGGTAAGCTGCCACTAAAAGCAGTGGGGCCTCCTTTACCCTCGTCATGGATGCTCATCTCACCTCACAGTAGAAAACTTCTATTGTCAGGATTATTTGAGATAGGAAATAAATTTCTCTTCAGAATGTAAAATTCAGTTCTTGCATTGCCAAAAATCAATAAATCACCTCCAACATCAAATACTCACTCCTTTAGTGCTGAAATTCAGCTATTCCCTGGATGTATCAATGCCAGTCTAAAGCTCTCATGGTGGCTTCAACAACTGAATTTATTTGCAATATAAAAATACTTAGTGTGTTTGAGCTTTAATCTATAGCTACAACATAAAATGAGCCTGAGACAATGTCAAGGCACACAACCATGATATGGTTAAACTCTTGATATGGATACATTGACCCTGAAAAGAACTCTCAGGATCTTGTATGGATTCATCCCACATCACCCCTCCACACATGCAGACCTTACAGATTTTAAGTGAAACAAAAAGCACAAATCTCAAAAAGGGGAGAATTTTAGACTAGATTTGGGACAGTTTTTACCTGGATGCTGCTAAATTACTCAGCTTTTGATTAGCAGGAAAAATATTCTTGTCATGGTATGGTGGAAGAAGTCCTTTGATGCTTTCATGGGAGTCACTTGCCTATCACTTTAGGAAGATGCAGTTTTGACAGTACTACCACTTCTTCTCCAGAGACTACATTTTTAAGTGAATCCTATTCTGCATCAACCAAACCACAGGTTTACTTTCCTTTCTCTAAAGGGAGAGGGGGCAAAGACACAGGCCTCCTTTGCAAGGAGCATGATTACTTTTAAAACAAATTTTATCTCATGTTCGAGATTCCTGGTAATGTCAGACATGAAAGCAAAGAAAAAGGCAAGTAACTTTGAGAGTGTATCCTCTTCCCAGGAAAACCTGCCAAATCTTAGGAGTTTTAATCACCAACTGACCTAAAAGCATTGGAAGGCACATAGCTAAATGCTTATAAGTGTAAAGATAAGTGTGCTTGGAACATGACATTCTGATTCACACATCACTTTCTGTTCTGCTTACCTCCTCCTAAATCTATAAGTTCACCTGAAACAATATGCAGAGAAGTCTCTCCAGTCACAATTTTTCTTTAGCTGCCTCACACTCCTCTAAGATATTCCTTTCTTGTTTTGGTGTAAGTTACCAGAACTTATCAGTCAGAACCTCATACTTATGGATTCTGATCAATTCAAATATATTTTTAAATCCTTTGGTTGGATAAACTAGGTTAAAACAAGCAGAGAGATTTACATATAACACAGAGTCTACATGTCAGAATTGGAATTAGAAATCTGTGTATCCTCCCTTCCTTGGCTACTAAATCTATTTTATGAATCCAGACACAAGACAGGGACCATTAAGGTGGGACTGCATAAAAGCAAACAGGTAGAAGATCTAATTGAATAGATAAACATGCAAAGAAAAAATATATGGCTTTTATATGGCTGCCAGTTGCTATGATCTGGCAGGACTTGGCTGCTCGCTGCCAGTACCTTTAACAGCCAGCTTAACAGAAGTCACTTATGAACAAACTCTTCAGAAAAAAAACAATTTTAAAAGTGCAGACATTGCCATATGCTTACTTTTAGCCACTATGCTATAGTAAGGCCAGAACTGACTATGAATTCACAATTCTCTCCTATCAGAAAATATTTTTCCCTGGGCATGACAGCAAATCTGTCTTTAGGTTTCAGCTACAATGTGGACAGACAGACCTGGTGTAAGAGAGCAGAGCAGAGGATATTGTTGAGTGTGGCCTCCTGTGAGACTCTCACAGAGAAGCTGATGAAGTCTGAGTCAGATGGGGAGACTGTGAGGTGGACTGAAAACTGACTGGATGGGCCCAGAGGGTGCATCAGCACATGCTGGGGGCTAAGTGGCTGCAAAGCAGCTTGGCAGAGAAGGGTCTGGGGATCCCACTGGACACCAAGTTGAACATGGGACAGTGATGTGCCCTTGGACAAAGAAGGCTAAGGAAGGCACTAGGAGGAATGTTCCCAGCAGATCAAGGGAGGTGATCCTACTCTGCTCAGCCCTGATGAGGCCACACCTGGAGTGTTGCCACAAGCTCTAAGGTCTCCAGTACAGGAGAGCCATGGCCATAGTAGAGATCTTATCCATCTAAAAACCTGAAGGAATGGTACAAAGAACACAGAGCCAGACTCCACACAAATGGTGCCCAGTGACAGGACCAAAGTCAATGGGCACAAACCAAAACACAGGAGATTCTCTACAAACATCAGGAAAGAATTTTTTTACTGTGAGTGCAACTGAGCACTGGCACAAGTTGCCCAGAGAGGTTGTGAAGTCTGCATCTATGGAGAGATTCAAAAGCCATCTGAACACTGTCCTAGGCAACTGGCTCTAGGGGAACCTGACTGAGCAGGGGGCTTGGGGAAGATGACATTCCAGCTTCAACCATTCTGTGATAGATGTGTAACCACCCTTCTTCAGGGATATGTTTGTCTATTCATAGTTATGTAGCAATCTCAGAGTAAAATCAGAGCAAATTCTAACATGACAAACCCCATACATATTTTTAATATGCATTAAGAATAAGAATCACTCACTTCTAACTTAATGCTTAATATTTTGAGTCTATCATGCACTATATTGTATTCTTTGCTGGTCAATCTTTTCTGTCTCTTGGACTTACTACCCAGCCACTGCCACCATTTATAGGCTCCATGACCTAGACTTCAGTAGTTTTCTCACTCTACTTATGATTTCAGAGCTGAAATTATCTGCTTCCTCAGCTTCACTGTTTAGTACAGAACCCAAGCAAGATGAAATAATCTAGCATTATGCTCTCATCATTCCTTCTTTTTGAGGGCTCTAGGTTTCATAAGAACGTTCAGTGAGTTAATTACGGTCACTGATCCATCAAGGAAAGTGAGGGGGGTTTAATGGCTTTGTTTTCAAAAGTGAATCAGACTCCTCACAAGAGAGTCCAATTGTCCAAGCTAGCTGGGGCTAAGCAGCAGGTGCACCGAGCTGCTGCAAAACAGGAGTGAAGGGAAGTACAACCCCTTCCCCTCCCTTCCACTGGTCCTGACAAATCATTGGGAAAAAATCATTTAAACTGTTTTGTGTTATTTCATCCTTGAGACAAGCTTCTTCATTTTAGTTTCAATTCAGTTTCTTTATTTTAGTTTACCTAAAGATATTGGGTCCCAAGAGACGGAGCTGCCACGTTTCTGTTTGGAATATCTTGAAGATAAACATACAGGCAATGTGCTCTGTACAGATAGCCAGAGCACGTGAAAGAAAATCATCACTTTGTGGGCACATCACGATTACTCTTTGTACTACAAGCACACCAGATACTTAATTAGCACAAGCACAACAGTTTCATGATATGTCAGATTTATTATGGTTATGCTGCAGAAATGTTTAGGACTTCTGAATGCCTTCTTCCCTCACGGTTAATGGAGCATAGTTGCAGCAGGGCAGCCAGACATCTGGAAATTCTGCAGAAGTGTTAGAAGAACACTCATGGTCCAGCATGGGGGAGGAGGAAGAAGGAAAAAAGTGGACAGTCCAGCAAAATGAGACATATACAAGAAGCAGTATCTGCTATTAAATCAACCCCCTGGAAATAAGGTTCACAATTTAGGCCCCTGGCTCTCCAGCTTCGGTTATAGGAATAAAATTATGCACAGCCAGCCTCCTGTTACAAATTAGAAAGAAGAACTCAAGTACTTGACAACACCAGAATTATGATCCTGGGACATTTTTCTCCACTAAGTCCTCCCACACTTTTCCGTTTTCTGCTCCCAGCTCTTCTCTCCTCTTCCCCTAAATCAGTTACACACCATTTTTCACTAAAGAAATTATTTTCCCCCCTGCTAACTCTCCAAATTAGGTGCTACTCAAAATTCTAAATCAAGCTCTGCAATCTCCTGTCCCAATTAAATCAAAGGAAAGAGCAGTTCACATAAATAACATTTTCAAGATCCAGTTTTAGCTTCTAGATTTTGCAGCAAAGTTTCCAGTCCTGCTTCAGGGCCAGAAGGTTAAACATTTCTCAATGACGCAGGCTCCCTTAGCAAGAGAGAGATGAGGAAGGGGTCCAAAAAAACCTCATTCTTCCCAGGCACTAAATCAACAATCACAGCAAACAGTGACTGCCTCTCTCCAAGGAAAACTGGGAAGAGTGGAGCAGTCTCTTTTTACAAGCAGCCAGTTTGTCTGTCACCATAATGCAAAAGCTCACTACAAAGAGAAGAAAAATAATCATAAGAAAATAACAAGTTTTTTAAAATCCCAGAATGGAGATTATATATTGTGCACTATATAGAAATCACAAATTTAAAAACAAACAAAAAAAATTCTGTAGAGCAATATCTGCAAATCTGTTTAAAATTGCTGCTCTTTTCTGGTCCATTTAAAGTTGCCAGTAACTTTCTAGATAAAATTAAAAGATGCTTTTACTTTTAAATGGGGTGAAATTTTCATGCCTGAGAGACCACTTTTCATATACTAGATATTCCAGAATCTCATTATAATTTCTCAGTTTTCAAGATAAGATAAGCAATAGTACTTTTTCCAAAAGGAGTCTACTAATCAGGATCTTGTTCTCACTTACTTAGAGGTAACATGAAATCTGAAAATCTGTATTGGAAAGTGTTTTCTGTTTATTTCAGGTTTTCCTGAAAGAACACTGAAGGCTCTAAGCTTTGGGAATGTTTTGCAGCAAGTCAAGCTCAAGGTACTTTCTGAACCAAATGTTTTGGAGTCGCAATTTTTCATCAGTGGTACCTCAGTGTCACATAGTAACTTTAATAAAATCAAAACCACTCAATATATTTTTGAAAGACATATATTTGAGTTGACATCAGCGAACACAAAGTTCAAATCTCAAATATTGAGAAACATAGACAAGGAACAGCAGCTTCAACCAGAGTATCTCCAGCAGAATTTTTTTAAAAGAAAAAAAAAAAATCACAAAGGTCACTTATGATTACAGACTGATCAAGCCTGCTTGTGCTTCACTGAAAGCTGCAATTTCTTTATTTGGGATATGCTCATTTTTGAGAAAAAACAATCAGGGCAAAGAAAAAGGAAGACTACAAAGAACTACAAATACATTTCTCAACCTACTTTTCACATAGGATGATTAAATAGGTTCGTATCCTGTTGGGGATCCAATGCTGTGCACAATGCCTGGGAAGCATCATTAACATTATGTAGAGGATCTGATTTAAAATAAGCATCACTACAGAAAGATACAAAAAAAACATTAAGCAGGTCACATTAGCAGATACTATTTTAGCACTTGCCTACTTTAAGAATATTTAAGTATTCTTAATTTCTTACATAAGCTTCTTTTAGGGAGAATATTTTGCCTGCATTAAGGTTTGCATCAGTTTACCTACAAGGAGTTACTTGCACTGAAAGCCATTGACACATTTAATATTGAAAACTAGCAGACTTTTAACCAAAGAAATTCTAGGACAGCTTTCCAGTATGAGTGAGAAATCTAACACTTTTTAAAGTGGTGCTCAATAAATTTATGTAGGGGACTATATGACCAGGTTATTTGCAGCAGCAAGGGAGGGGGACCCTGCAACCCTGAAGAGTAATTCCAGTTCGGCTGCTTTATGACTTCTTACCTACCTAAACTATTGCTAAATTATACAGCATTCTTAAACCACACTAAGGTTAAACACAAAAGAGAGCTGTGCCAGTGGAATTAAAGTGGTTTTCTATATTGACTTTGATAGTAAAATTCTCTTGACAAAGAAATTGAGAGGAAAGGGGAGCAATATTTCTTCTATTAAGATAGAGATTCTAGTTTCACCTCCAATGAAGCAGGCTCGTGTTTCCTTAGCCACAGATTAAAAACCAGACTGCCTCAAGACAACCAGCTGAGGTTTCTCCATTTAAAAAGACAATTTGGAACAAGTGCCAGTCTCTCCTTGGAAGAACCCTAAGGTCAAAACAGCAGAGGGTGCTGTAAGTCCAAACTGAGGTGCAGCAGCTCAGCAGCAAGGAGAATCCAGATGTAACATGAAGCTGGAGGTTACTTCAGATTTTGGAGTGGGCTTTTTGTCAGGTTTTTTGTTTGGTTTTGGTGAGATTTTTTGTGCTGCAGGAGGCATTTGAAACTAGTAAAAGCAGACAGCAAACAGGTTAATACAAGAATTTATTTTTAGTAGCTTCCACATAACATTAAACAACAACATCAGAGACATTTCCAAAACCTCAACAGTTACCTATAATCCCTACCACTGATCTATACAGCTCTGGGCACACATTAGAACATTAGAGATTGATTCACATCGATGTTTAGACCTTAAAAAATTGTACTTTAATGACTACAATCAAAATATAGACTGGATTTGGAACCCATTATTTAAAAAAAAATCTTGATTATAAACACTAAAAGCACTAATGCAAATTTCTACTATCACTCAGGCACAGAAACTTGAGCACTTGGTTAAACATTAGTCATCTCTTAAATCTGGCAAACACTGGATAGCAAGGAGTCACCAGGTAACTGGGAGACAGAAAGGATGTGTGTCTGCAGTGCATCCCTTTAGGCAAAGAATGTGGTGTAATCATCATACCAGTTTAGAGAGACTCAGCATAGCACACGTTCACGTATTAATCCAGAACCTAAATTAGTGGCAGGCCATAAAGATGACTATGATCTGCCTGAGCCACCAAGATAAAAATTATCAGTCTGAGCCTATATACATAATCAATATTAATTCCTATACAATTGTGCCTCAAGACCCCTAATAAGAACCTGATAATCTTTTTTCACTTCATTTTTCCAATGTGCTTGCTTGAACTATATTCCTAAAGAAAAACTGATTCATATTCACCATGTAAATGAGTGAGTAACTCAGAGTATGATGACAACAACTAAACAGGGCCCATTATACATAATGCATTAATTTCACAGAAAGGAAAACTATGCTTTGATTAGTTACAACATATAAAACCTGACATGACTTTACATCCATTTTAAACTTTCATTTTATTTTTAATAA